GCTTTGTACTTTAATATACAAAGAAGAATATTATCTCTCCCATGCGAGCAGCGATGTTTATGTATGATTTTGCCCCCACGTACTAGAGGGGCTGTGGTGGCTATGCGGTTGCATTATTTTGAGAAGCTTTGTACGAAGTGTCGTGCGAAAACGGCTGAAATTATACACCATCGCTGGCTGTGCTGCACAAATAAAAAAAAAATGGAAAGAACGATTGCAACCCCATTCTTTGTTCTTCGTAAATGACCGCGGGAGCCTAGGTTTACGCGTGTCTTTCTGCGGAGGTACTTCAAGTGCTACAGAGAATGACAAATAATGAAATAAAACCAGTGAGACAAGAAGGGACGCAAAACTGCTGTACAGCAGCATCCTAAGTTACGACTTCCTGATTTTTCTCGGCTTTTCCTACAATGTACTAATTCACATAGGTCTTGTGTATTAATTAGATACGAAAATTCAAAATTAAACTTTCACAGTGATTTTTTAAACATAAAAGCGCTGCGGAATTTCGTTTATGATGAATGATAGACCCTAGTAAACGAGTCAGTTGATGAAGGGCTTAGTCTCTGCTAAAAGGGGGGCATATAACTTGAAGTGCCCGAGACAAAAGAAAAAAAAGGCATGGGTTGAAATTAAAAGGTGACTGCCTAATGAACAAGCAGGAATTGAAAACGGCATGAAATCTACATTTGACTGCCTTTATATAGAAATCGACGAAAGGTTCACTCGCCTTCACGACACCCATGCCAACTTTGGCTTCCTCTTAAGTATTGAAGGTCTGTGCTGTCGTACTGATAATGATAACTTAAGGATAAAATGCTGCACTTTCGGATAAGCCTACATAACCTGCATGACGAGATATTAAACCGCAGACTGTTGCTTTCCAAGCGAGCTGACCTGGAAATGTCGAAACCTGATGAACTCCTTTAATTTATAGTCCATATGCAGACAGAGGGACTTTCCCAAACTTTGCGTCGCCATGTAGATACTGTTAATCGTATTAGTTCACATCGCTGGTTCTAAAGGTTCGTTAAGCCAGTTGAAATTGTGACCTTCGTATTTCTGAGCTTCCCAGCGCCAAGGCAGACTGGGATCTCGCAGTGCTGAATGTAGAAAGAGAAGAAACATAGCAAATAGATTTTGGTGACGTTGTAGACCAATTTGCTTCAGCGAAATCAATAGAAGTTTCGTGGTACTTCTTTTGCAGTGCCATTGCAGTAATTGATTTTATACTTCTGTTAAAAATCAAAGGTGGCGAAAAATTTCGAAATCCTAAACAACACTTTTTTTTGCTGATACCACGTCCAAACTTTATCTAAGCATCTTTTTTTGTTTATTAAAGTTCGTTTTGTTTTGTTCAGATGCCTTGTTACCACGTGCGAACGGATCCTGACCTACGCTTGTAAACAACCGTAGTTGCAGATTCAAGCGCTGCATCGTGCGGTATGATCGATGCACGCATTACATGCTCCCGTCATTCGTGCGCTAACGCACCCCCTGACCGAGAAAAACCGGCCTATAGCAGCTTTTTGGCGGGCAGTCCTTTCGCAGTAAAATAAAGCTATGGATATAAATTTTAGATTTGATTGCAGGTGCTCACCCTGTAGACTCGAAGAGCTGACACACTCGCGGGCGTCTCTATGGCAAAAAAAAAGAAAGATACAACCACACTTTGGAACTTTTTAGTGCGTAGAAAATCAAAATATACGTTAGCAGGCGAAGTCAGATAGAGTTTTTATTTTATAGAACTTCTCTGCGAGGAGCGACCATGCACACCCTGGAGCAAATAAAACCTCACCGGAGTGTCGCCTACGCTTTCTTTTTTATATTTTGTTTTATTATTTTATTGTGCTGCAGCTTGCTAAAGAATTGAATATCGATCAGATCGACACTCGATCCTGTCAACTGGGTTACCTGCATTCGTAAATATTGCTCACGCATCTATATGCACGCTGCACTTCCTCAAATCGCACGAACCCGGAACGAAATCCCCGCGCAGACTCCACCGACGGGTCGCTCGGAAATAGTCAATGGTTCACGAACTCCCTTCAGCGACGCACAAGACCATTCCATCAATCCTCTTCGCACTGGGACACAGTAAACTCATGCTCTGAAAAAATTCCGTATACCAAAGATCAAAGACAAAGAAATCCGCCGTGCTTGACTCGTACGTGCGACTTCGTTTGCCCATCCTTTCTGAACCTTCCCTGTTCACTGTAGAAAATAAATTAAAAAAAAAACAAAAAAAACGTAACTAAAAAGATCAATTATCTAAAATGTTCAGGAATATTGCGCAGGAGTCAAAGAAATATATATCTGTGTTGTCTAGCCGTGCTAAGCAAGTATACAGACAGGCGTCCTGTAGGACAACCTACTCTCTTTGCAAAATATGGCACGTCTCTGGACCTATGATCACACTATTGGGCAACTCTTACTAAACTATGTCTAAAGCAACATATGCCTCAGGGTTCTGTTTTTAGAACACCGGGCTTTAAAACATTAGCGTAGAAACTACCGCATTTTTTAAGTAATGGCTTATCAGTAATACCTGTTTTACTCTTTATATCGCTGCTTTTTATTTTTTACGGCATATATAAATTGATGGCTCGTTGAAATATTAAGGATAACTGAGAAAAACGTATTCGGCCAGAAAAGAAACAGTACTCCACTTCTCGCTTAACACCTTGTAAAAGCAAGGCGGTGCTGCTAAATGTCCGGTGTTACACTATAAAACAGGCAAAAGCGAGTCACAGGTTGAACTATAGCCTCCTCTATAATCACAGAACCTGGCAGTTCGATGACGGAGCCATAGAGTGCCAGGTCGCCGATTTAAAGCGCGAGGTCTGGTACCACAGAGCATTTCTCGCGTTGTCTGGTATTCAGCGCACAGCTCTCGCAGCGGCGAGGACCCGAAACATGGCTTCCAAACCCGCCGAAAAAAGATGCGGTAACCCAATGAGCCCGAGAAGCACGAGCGGACATTCCCTCGCTCGGGACAAGTGTGTTTCGGCGTCTCGCCGCAGCTGGGCGCTCCGTAACATAACTCTTGTCTGCCGCCCTACCCTTTCACTTTCGGCGCCCGCGTCACGTGACGATCTGCCAGGCTTTGTCAGAATAGAGGAGGCTATGGTTGGAACACGAGTAATGCATTCGCGTTCGGCTGAGCCTCGTGTTATTCGCGGGAAGGACTTTGGGAACCTGGTGGAATTTGTTCACAACCCAGAGTGAGGATACTTCAACTTCCATTGCTGGTGAAAACACATACGACTCTTGGCATGCAGTGAATAATCTTAATCAGCGCCGAAATAATTGGTAGCTTTCACAAGCTTTTTTTTTTTTTTTTTTTTTATCACTTTACAGTTATGATATTTTTTCTTTCTGATGTAAAAAATAAGGACCAAATCTAAACGTAATGACGTTCTATGAAAATTCAAACAGTACGGCCCGAGCAGTATATCTGTATAAACTTTAGTTTTCCATGCACCCTTATAACTTTCGATACGCTCAAAGTTAGTGCAAAATGTAGCGCTGTTTCAGTATTAATAAGGGCACGACGTGAGTATTCTTGCATTATATTCTATACAACGTCACTCTCTACCCTTTGGCTATTGCTTTAATTTTTGCAAAACACTGCTTGCCCACACACATCACCAAATTAAGACTGCTACATTGTTTAAACTATGTGCAAAAGCTATCCGCAGAACCAGAATCTTTGCCTGGCCAGTCACTAAATTTATCACTTTACGCGTATTAAAATTAATTCGTATCATTTAATGCTCTGAGTGAACTCTTAAGTGAGGCATTACATTATTAAGCGTAAGGCTACCGCAGCACTCCTACATTGGTTTGACCAAACTTAGTATCTACACCTGAGTGTCATTTTTTTGTTTTCTAATCTCGTATGGTTTTGGTCAACATAAACATCAAGTTACCTAAAAGAGGCACCTCCCGAAAAAAATAGTGTATTTGTTCTAATTTCTGGAATATTTATTTCCTCAAGCTAATAGTTTGGAAACCTGCCTTCATGACGTCATCACGTTTTTTTTTTTTTTTTTTTTTTACTTCATAAAGAGACGAAAGCATGCACGACAAAAGGACAGGTCCGTCATATAATTTTGATCAGATTGAAATATGTGGAATTGGCCTCTCATATCCCCGATGTATTAATTACGCACAAGCAATCTTTTATTGATACGCGGGTCGGTTGTTTTGTCGTGTATGTGTCTCGCCATTCGCTCAGAATGATTTCCTCGTTTTGTTCTGACTACACTTGCTAGAGACGTGACGACATTTGCTGGAAGGCGATCCCATCGCGACCTGTTGGTTCAGAATTACGCTAACCAAGGGTGGGGTTGCACCTTAAAGAGAAGCCGCCGTCAGCTTCTATCTGTTGCATTACTTTACCTAACCAGGGCACTAAATTGTCGAAAATTAGAGCAGGCTAACAAAATGTGATGTGAAATGATACCACCTGGCAACACTGAGGCAAAGGTTGCCCAGGATGAAAAGCGAAAATCAATGCGAACGCTTTTTTGGACTTAAACACGGTACAACAGTTTAGGATACGTGAAAAGGAAATTTCGCCAATCAAGAGGACAAGTTAATATTTGTATACGTACTTTTTTGACGAAAGTTGAGTATGAAGACACGTAGGATGTCTGTTGTCGTGGGCCAACTGTTACTACAAGTCTAACACCCTATGCATGGATCTCCTCTTTGGTCGAGCGTCTTTGTCAGCTTGGAACATTTGCGCCTAAGTGCATGCAAGTTGCATACGTGCGCGGTCTCCAATACGAGCACCACATTAATTGGGGAGATTGCCTATGCAAAAAAGATGCTTTACTAAAATGTTCATCCCGCATCTCTAATTAAACATCAGTTCTCTTCTAATACATTTCCACGTCCAAAGTAGTAATTTCTGCGTGACAACTAGTGTTCCAACAGAGGTCTGATACTTGAGCGGGTACATGACATGCCTCTTTTTTTTTCCTCTTCTACAGGTTCCTCAGCACAATGCTGTGATGCTTTAAGCCGGGATTCCTTTTAATTGCTGCCTTCCCGGATTTCCTGGACATGGCGGATGGTCCCGAGAAGTACTGAATGCTGACACCTCCCACCATGAGTTCTCTCGTCGTCAACGCTACCCTAGCCACCCTCCGGGCAAACAGAGATCCATCTGCTTCCCGAGCAGGCATCAACACATCACAGAATTCGCATGTCAACCTCACCACGGGCTATGGCGACTCTGAAGAGTTCGTCCCATATGAGCAACGGCTGGAGACGTATGTTGTTCCAACGCTGTTCGCATTGATATTTATCGTCGGGCTCCTGGGAAACGGAACGCTTATTCTCGTATTTATCAGAAACAGGACAATGCGAAGCGTTCCCAACATCTACATAATGAGCTTATCAATTGGCGATTTTATAGTAATCGCTGGAACGGTGCCTTTCATCAGTACCATCTATGTGCTAGATTCGTGGCCCTACGGACTGTTTCTTTGTAAACTCAGCGAGTTTCTCCGAGATGTCTCCATTGGTGTGACTGTACTGACGCTTACGGTCCTCAGCATTGATAGGTACGTGGCCATTGCCATGCCACTGCTTAATCACAAAGGAAGACGACATACTAGAAGAACGGTCACAATCCTTCTAGCCATTTCTGTGTGGATTGTGGCCATTTTAATGGCGATTCCAGGGACCCACTATTCGTTTGTCATGCAAGTGCAGGCGACGCCCAACTTGCATTACAGTGTTTGCTACCCCTTCCCGCCGGAAATGTGGCCCTGGTATCCCAAGCTCATGGTCCTTCTGAAGTTCCTCATACAGTACGCTATTCCACTGGTCATCATTGGCACCTTCTATTGCCTGATGGCCCGACAGCTTATTCGGACATCGAGGGCTCACCTGTCGCAAACAAGCTGCGGTGGCGTTGCACATCTGAAGCAGATGAAGGCTCGAGTGAAGGTCGCAAAGATTGCCCTTGCGTTCGTGCTTCTCTTCGCAGTCTGCTTTTTTCCCAACCACGTATTCATGATGTGGTACTACTTCGCTCCAAACGCGCCGTCCCAGTACAACAGCTTCTGGCACGTGTGGAAAATCATGGGATACGTAATGACCTTCGTCAACTCCTGCTTGAACCCTGTGGCATTGTACCTGGTTAGCGGTGTGTTCAGAAACCATTTCAAGCACTATCTTTTTTGTGGGCGGCATCCCAATGTGCACGCAAGACACAACTCGTATTCCTTCAGGACCATTCACAGCTCCAGCATGTCCAAGTGCACCGCATCTACCAAGATTTGACGTTTGACTTTCCTCCATCGGAGGCTACACCCACGTGTATCGAACAAAGCGACGCCTGTGCCAACAGACAGGGTGTAGTTAGACGTAATTGAGATAGGACGTCGCTTCCACGGCAGTGCTCTACGGTGTGACGCATTCTTCGTTCTGTGAACGGAATTACTTCGTCGGTGTGTTCCCATCGCCGCAGAAAGCTTCTTCATCGCTGCACAGTGATGAACTGCGAGTTTCTTTCAGGTGGCCAAAGCCAGGTGAATATGATTGAGCATAGTAAAAATAGTTTCAACGAAGCTCAAAGTTAAGGTTTCTGGTAGGCGAATCTCAACTACTACTGAAATGAAACGAGGAAAAATATTTTATTACATACTATTGGTATATATAGCGTGTATTCTGTAAACTCAGGTAAAAAAAAAAAACGTGAGTGTTAGCATCCATGGGCATCCAAGACACCTAGATCGGTTTTGAACAGTGCCACTATGCTATCAACGACAAGAACATCTTTGTGTTGTCTTTCCTTGTGTGGTAAAGATTGTACTTACGGATCGCGAGTAATATGGCAGCGTGAACTCGTATACCTTAACAACTAGATACCGTTCGTGGAGTCCGGAATGTATGTCGCATTTGATTCATGCGATAATATTTATACGACTTCATAATTTTTGTAGGTGTTAATTTATGTCACAAATTTAGATGTATCGCACTATTTCATGATATCGCTAGAGCCTGCATAGCCCTACCGGCGTGTGGGGAAGCGATATTAATACGCAAAAGCGCGTTAGACAAACCCAGAACATTGTTGTATTATTGACTTAAAACTAACTTTGGCACCTATTTGAGTTATGTAAATAAACCATAGGGCCACGCAAACCACCGGAAGTTTGTTAATCAACCTGTGGGAGGCTAAGAAAGAACATTTCTGAAATTAGGGATCTGAAGAGTGCGAGTATGTTTGATGATGTTGCACAAAGTTAGTCATAAATATCGAGCACCCTTACTTTTGATTACAGTTGTTCCCATGTATTGTCTTCACTGAGATCAAGCATTGCAAACCAGTGATTCATATCATCGACGGTTTATGTCATACAGTATCGTTTTTACCGATCTCTAAAGTGTTTTGGGGGAGCATGAAATGTTCGGGATTTCAATACGCCTGGCTTGTCTTTTCTCTTACGTGTACGGGAAGGGGGGGGGGGGGGAGGGGGAAGGGGGAGGGGCATATTCAGCTCATGTAGACTCACGGGTAACCGATACGGCTATATTCTGCTACCCCCTACAGGATTTCATCCGTCTAAAAGTCAAGGCTATGACGCGAATGTACCAAATCAACTCTGTGCATTGTTAAGAATCCCGTGGCGTCACTCCAACCTAAGGTAGCGTTGTCGCTCCTTCTGCAATGTGGTGACTACGCTACCTTAGGTTAAACGAGCACACTTAGTATTGCCGGTTCTTAGCAATCGCCTTCAGTCCGAAGCAAGTCTGACAGAAATGGGTGTCAGATCAGATACGGCAGGGATATATTCAATGTACAGGTTATGGCATGTTATTTTGTCTACACTGGAACCAACTTTTGGTATTTCAGTATGCGTGAAATACTGATTGAAATACTGAAGGATGCAAAATTATGTAACTTCATTCTGACGCCATAATGTTTTTTTGTTTTTTTTTGTTATCGAAGTATATTAATTTCATTGTGTTAAGTTAGTCGTCGAGGGCAAATGCAAGGATAATTCAGTTCGAACGGGCGGCGGCAGAGGTGATTCGTTCTGGGGGATAATTAAAGAGCGACACTATAGCTTTATGTCGGTACAGCGTAGTGAAGTGCTTTTATCATGGAGGCGTCAACGGTCCTACTTAATGACGTGATTTTACGGTTAAAAAGATTTTCTGAGGTGCGTTTTTCTAACTAGAAAAAAAAAGTGTCGATGATATTGCTTTCATTATTGTGCGAAAGAACGAAGTCAGCATTGCGTATCTAATCTCCGGTTGACTATGATTTGTACCCTAAAATTCAAGACGTTAACACCGAGCAGAGGTCTTCCTAAGAACGTCACTCTGAAAGATGCTTCGCTTCCGCTACCACTTTCTGCCGCTAAGCAAGGAAAGGGAACAAAGTTAGATGCAGGCATCTAACGTTGTGGCAACTTAAAACTGATTTCAAGTTTTTCCCTACCTTTTTTCGCGGCCTCGTTATTTGACCCATATACCTAAAAGTGTATGGGGCTACCGATAACCAGATGCACTTATTTCGGCAGTGTTATACTTTATTTATTAGTATTGTGTCATTTAGGTGTCAAAGGCAGAAATAGGTTAGTATGCACAGTTCCATATATTAGCATGAACTTGGGAGCGTGTTGGTTTCTGGACAAAGGCCTGTTAATACATGGGACAAAGCTTCATATATTAACGAAATAAATTTTGGAGGGCACAGTAACAGGTTTGGCAGAGAAATTTTAAAGTCCTTAGGCATGAATTCAGCGAATAATAATATTTCTGCGACAAAGAATGAGATAGAAATTCTTACTCCGCAATTGGCATAATTGCATTTCATCTTCCAACCCATAATGCAATTTTTTCTGTCCCTCTTTTTTATTTCCCCGTTTATCCTATATCTACTCTATCACTTTCTTTTTCTTTCTTCTGGGCAGGGGTTGGTTCAAAAAATACTCCGCTAGGAGATTTACTGTACTTGTGTTGTTGCGAGCTGACAACAGTCTCCGTCGTTTCATTGTTTTTAGTGAGTAATTATTTCTGTCGTTTTTCTTCGTATATTCTCCAATTCACCAAACCTTTTCAGCACTTAAAGGGCCACTGAATATAAATAAAATAATTTCCTTAACGAATATAACCGAAACATACAAGCTAAAAACAATTACGCGAAAAACAAATTTAGAGTAATATTGACCGTGCGAAATGCGATTTAGTTGGTAGTCTACTCCTTTGTGCTTGTGTTCTCGGCATTTCGGGCACGTAGACAAGAGGTGGATCGGCTTGGCCATCACTTTAAGGTGGAGAGACTGTATGGCCATCTCGTTGAGGTTGAAAAAGTGTATGACCATTCCGTGATGTCATGGACTTTGCGTGCAGGTTTTGAAATAAATCTCCCGCCCTCGATATTGCTCTATAACTTTCTTTTTTAGCGTAAAATTCCTTTTTCTACACGCGTGTCCCAGGCAGACTGTTAAAAATTGTTTTTGAGTGACCATTTAACGTCCTCACCATGAAGCTCTGAATGTAAGTGTCTAAAATGCCTAGCTTGAGCTGCAACAATTTTAGAACCAACCGCGTGGTATTATGTGTGCTCGATTCGGTTTGCACTAGTATGGTATTATTGAAAATTTATGGAACCGCTTGCTGAAATACAAGCATATGCGTAATTCACCATTGCATGTACTCTCGGTGCAACATCCTTAACGTTTAATTAAAGTGATACCCATAAATTTTTTGCCTTAATATAGTCCAGGCTATGATTGTGTACAAATATTGTATTTTATTCATTCGGTGCCCTGTCTCTACAAGTCTTTGAAAGAGGAAGCATGCTAGAAAGCTTTGTGTGACGTATTTAGTGATGTTGAACAATAACTCTTTTTGTTGTGGACCCCTGTTACTGTACTCACACTGCATGCTGGCTTAGCCATATACCTGTGTGGTTCATTATTGATTGTTGCCTCTTATTATTACACAACGTGTTTCATCGAACATGTCTTCTTAAGGTCCCCAGCTATATAGTCATGTTTAGAATTGTGTGGTTGTAGTTTATTAAATTTGTTCCCACTGAATTCTAGGCATGTTTGTGTTTCTTTGTTCATACCGTATGGGTGAAAGCAGTGGCTGAATGTCTCACGTATTTCCGCTGGGCTGAGCATGCTGCAGCTAAAGTTTGCGGTGCAGAGACAAGCTTGCTAATTTATATTCTTACATCAGCTTGTTTCTGTTTAAATTAGGGGTTTAATGTCGTGAACTCCAAAAATGTGCTGTGTACTACTCGGAATGTATGTTACGTTTATGTATAACTTACCGTCGACTGTGTTGCAAGTCATATTGTGTTGTTAAAATAACATTTTTTTATGAAGGCTTACTTACTTCAGGTCCTTTGTACAAACATACGACCATATTTGTTTTGTACCTGCAGACTAAGCCCACCTACTGTGGAAGATTTAAAGAGTCACCCAGTGCTCAAAAACGACAAGTAAGTCGACTACATTCGTAAATAGTTCTGAACCATTTATATATCTTAAACGAGACAAATTAAAAAAGAAAAAAAAAAACTCTAAGCTTTGACAGGAAGTGAGTAAGGTTCGTGATTGTATTCTAAGGGTTGAGCTATTTCAACCCGTCTGAACGTAATGTCCTGGGGCGTCTCCAGTAAACAAGTCTCGCCCGCATACATTTTATCTAGTCAAGACGCCTGTTTCATATTTACAAATATCCGAAAGTATGTTCCACGTATAGGGCAATGAATGGACCGGAAAATGTATGCTCAATTTATCAATTAGAAAATATTGCATATCGTGTCACAGGCCAGCGGTCGCCACCAAGCATAGCGAAGTCCAAAATCAAGTATTCATGAACGCTAGGGTAGAAAACTATACGACCGCGGGTACTGCACGCTTGTTGCGTAATAAGCGATATAGGAACAAGTTCTGACGAAGATCATATTTCAGCTGTCCATGGTGCCTATCCAAATATTCTCGTTTCTGATCTTTCAGTTAACCAGTGACAAACTAATCTCTCAAGAATGGGTACCAATAATCTCAATAGAATTATTCACTAGAATAAACCATAATCTCACAAGATCGGGTCGTTAACCTCCACTAAAAATAGGTTTGTATTTTTTTAGTATTTTTGGCGTTTCTGAAATTTTTAACTGTTATTATTTTATGTAACAGTAAGAAAGCACAAAACAAACAGATGGGCGAAAACAGACATGTACAAGCTTGTACATGTCTGTTTTTGTCCATCTGTTTGTTTTGTGCTTTCTTACTGTTACATCTGTCCCAACACGCTCGTCAAAGTCTTTATTATTGTATGTTTTCTGAATTATGTATTTGTTTTAATATGTTGTCGATTGCTGGCTTGTGAAGTATGTGTGCATTTTTAATCTACCGCATTTACTCGAGTAATAGCCGCACTGTTTATGAAGAAAACTTGAGGGTTCTCTTTTCCGCGGAGCACGCGGCTTGCCAATCATCGCGATTGACAGCACGATTCCAGCTGTTTACAGGACAGAGATAACGTCTTCGCGCGAAGATACCTTCTGTGAAGGTTGCATTTGTATGGAGACTCGTGTTCTTGATCTCGTTATTACTAGTTATTCGCTATGTCATTTATGCGCAACGCGATGATTGGCTGCTTATGTGCTTTGCGGGAAAGTAGACACAAGGGCCTTGTTCATAAATAGTGCGGCTATTACTTGAGTAAATACGGTATAAACGTGATCTGTAACCCACTCATCTGCTGTAATGCTCCGGCGCTGTAAAGTATAATAAATAACGGAATAAATAAATAGTTAGATCAAGGTAAGATATTGGGCGTTTCTAATTCCTGGGTGTTTTTAGATGTTTGAAACTGAAATATTGGCTATCTCCATATAGTTACTTGTGGTAAAACAAAAAACACTTTTGAAGAATATTTATATATATTCGACCAGATGCCTACTTTTCTTCAACACGACAATGAAATGCGGCCGGCACTCAGAAAGCAATTTCGCTAGCCCTCGAGTAACAAAGTTATGCTGTATACCAAAAAGCCTATTGGAAGCACTCGTATATTGAAAGCCGCATCTCAAGTTTATTTATACTCATGGAACAAGGCATTACATTCGAAGAGAACATATCCAATACCACGAAATTTATTAAATTATTTTGACTTTCGGTGTCCATGAAAGTCTTTCTTAGTAATGTTGTCTAGAGGCTGTATATGACCGCAAGGTCCGAGGAGCTCTGAGTTTCTTTACTAGCTTCACGAGTGAACCCAAGAGAACTCGCTACCGGAAGTTTTTGGGCAAATTATGTTCTGAATACACGCCGGATTTTCATTCATTTTTTTTTGTGTGTGTTTGGCAATAAAAAGATAATGGCGAAAAAATGTAGCTTGATAATTGAGGAAGAGAAGATAGTTACCCCACGTGAATTTACATTGTTTTATTTTGTTGCGTGCACCTTTACTAAAGTGGTTGG